CGGGCGGGCACGCGCGGGCGGCCCCGACGGCGCCCCGGCTGCGCGTGTAGTCGGACTGAGCCGAGCAGGTCGTACGCGGCCCCTTCCTCGCGGCCCTCCCTCTTTCCTGTCACCTCGGCCGCCAGAGGCCTGGCCACTGGGCTGGCTTCCCAGGGCGCGGCTGGCGGGGAAACTGAGGCTCGGGGACTGAGGCCGGGGTTCGGGTAGCCAAGGCCGGCACCGACCTCCCCTCTGGCGCGCGGCCGCGTCCCGGGACCCTTACGTCCGTGCCAGCGCGAGGAACAAAGTCTCGAGCGGGCGGCGCGCGGGGCGGCTCCCGCGCTGCCATGGCAACCGCGGCGGGCGCGTCCCCGGCGGGCACCGGCCCGCGTCCGCGCGCCCTGCCCTCCCGGGGAGGCTTATTCGCCTCCGGGGAGGGGGTCTCTGACTCAGCAGCGCGCCTGCGGAGACTTGCGGGGCGCAGTCCTGCGGGGCCGTCCCGGGCGGGGCCGCGCTCCCGGCCCGCGGAAGCGTCTTGCTCAGGGAAAGCGTTTCTGTGAGTGTGAGCGGGAGCAGCGAGGCATACTACGTAATAGGATGTGAACTGCGTGTTCCTGTTTTGTAATTTCAACCTGTTTTGTTGGTGCTTAGGAAAGTGAAACTACTGAAAGGATCGTAAGCGCACAAACTAATTCCAGGCGTTGCAGAAGAGTGATTCAGACTTCGGGGCAGAAGTAGACTACGACTTGGCTGCCTGGCGTGCGCTTTGTGAACAGGTGACAGATTGACGGGAGTCTTCATTCTCTGTTAAATGTGGTTTCCGCTTCTGTGTAGTGTTTGGAGTGCATGTAAATCAGAATAAACAGAAAGAGCAGCGTTGCAAGCGGGAGGTGTTGTGTGCGCGTTTATGTCTGATACCCTGTCTAAAAGTTAGTTTCATGTTAACTTTGTAATAGAGAAAAGGTACTTTTAAAAAACCCTCCTAAATGGTGCAGAAATTGGCTGGGTAAATAGAAAATTGGCAGGAGCTAAATCTCAAAATTATTTTTAACAAAACACAGAACTGGAGAACTGCTTTTGTTATTCTAAATTACAGTATCTAGGCAATAACCTTGAGCACATTAGAAATATAAAAAATGTCTATTTCTACAACATCTGGCAGATTCTTAAATTTTATTCGCTAATGTGTTTTACAGTGAAAGTCTTAAAAGTGGAGGCATTTTTTCCTAAGTGAAGTTGTGTTTGACAGTGGCTCCAATAACAAACTTGAAGAGAAGAAAATAGGAACATTTGCTTAGTCATCTAACTTAGCTCGACCCTGGGAGAAGAAAAAACACGTGTGAAAGAAAGCTAAGGATCTCCTTTTGGCTGAGCTTGAGCTAAAATGGGACTTTTTGGTTTGTAATGCTCTGGTGCTGGTTTTATTTTGAAGATTTAGAGATAAATTCAGCATTTTTCTGATATCTAAGACTTTTAAGGTGGTGTGAATTTCTTATCTTTGAAAACACTCCAAAAGTTTTCTTCTAATGTGTATGAGGAGAGGGGAAGGGATAGGGAGAAGCAGGAAAATTCTAGAGATTCCATGACAAGCTCTTTTGTGTCTTTATTGGGATATTTTACCTTATTAAGGAATTGATTGATTGATTGATTGATTGTCTTTTTGAGACAGGGTCTCACTGTGCAGTTCACGCTGGCCGTGAGCTCACTTTTCGCTCAGGCTGGTCTTGACCTGTTGCAGCAATCCTCCTCCCTCAGCCTCCCCAGAGTGCTGGATTGCAAGCATGTGCCAGCACGCCTGACTCTTTATTGTGATTACTTTTTTCAATGAAAATGTTAACTTTAGGTCCCATTAACTATGGACGCTGATATGTTTAATTCCATAGCTCAGAATTCATTTTACTCCATTGCCTTGGACAAATTTTCCAAAGATGTTTTTGGTACCACCCTGTACATCCTTAACACCGCGAATGTCCGTAGCAGTGAAGCAAAGCTGCTGTGATGCAGGTCCTGCTCTGCGTGCATGAAACTAGATTTCATTTTCAATCAGTTTTTAAAATCACTCTGTCAAGCTTAAATCACAAAGTTGAGTGTAAGGCCTATGATTAGGCCATGAGCTGACCCGACACATCATTGTCCCTAAGACCATCTCACAAATTCTGCTGTTCCTTAAAGCCTCCAGGATACCTTTCCTGTCCTCTTTCAGCTGCACACCTGGCTGCTTGCTTCCCAAGAGAACTCCCACAGCCTCCACATGTGTCCCCGAGCATCTGGCATTCATTTTCTCCCGTTACTGACAGGCACCCTGACCCCCTCCTTTCTGATGCCAGTCTCTGCCAAGCACCAGATCCTCCCACCTGCTCAGGACTTGACTCCAATAACTCTCTCTCTCTCTCTCTCTCTCTCCCCCCCCCCCTTCCAGGTATACAAAATCCTACTCCACTAGTTCTCATCTTCAAAATACAGAACTTAAGCAACCTGGTCTCCCCTTCTCCCCTTCGGCCACTATGCTCCTTTTTGACTTCCACCCGTAGCTTTCATCAGCTTGCCCTGACAAGTGCCTGTTTGAATCCCCAAGTGAATGTCTCACAGAGACTGCAAGTTCAACATGGCCACAATCGAACTACTTCATGCATCCCTGCCCCATGACCTGCCTTTATCCTAGTCTTCACTGTCACGTCACTGTTCTGGCCAAAAATCTTGGCATCATCCTGACTTCCGTCCTCCTGTATCACGTGCAAACCATCAGTGCCCACTGCTTAGCACGCTGCTTAGCCTACTTCTGGCTGACCCCTAGAAGCGAGCAATTCCCATCATCCCCGCCACTGGCAGCCTGCTCCAAAGGGCCATCCTTGCTTACCTAGACTGAAGCAGTCTTTAGCTTGCGAGCTTCAGCTGCTCCCATCTCTTCCATGGAGTCGCGGCCTCAATAGAGTAGCCACAACAGTCTCTCTGAAATGGACATCAGGTCACAGCAATTCCACTGATTAAATGTACTGTCTCAGAATAAATGTCAGAATATTTTCATTAACCAGAAGGTTTTCATAGTTTTCCCTGCCACACTGTAGCCTATGATAAAATTCTTACTTCTCTTAACCCACCAGATAGGTCTGCCTCGGGGCCTTTGTCAGCCTTGCAGTTCCCACTATTCACACTGCCCATGGTATTTGTCCTCATAATACCAGCAGGTTCACTCTACCACAAGTCTCCTTTCTACATTGGTCTCTGTGTTCAAGGTCATTGTCCCTTGTCTCAGGAATATCTTTCCTGAATATCATTGTAAAATCACAGCCTCCTCTCCCCAACTCCAGCTCCTGTGTTCCTAGGCTATGTGATTTTTCTCCACCTGACGTTCACCTCCCTTGTCAGACTAAGACATAGGAGGCAGGCAGATTCTTTTGCTCACTGTTCCTGCGTCTAGAGCAGTACATGGCACCTGTGAGCACACTGAATGAAGAAATGGTTGAGTTGATGCAAAGCATTATAGGAAATAGCAGCTATAGGTGTCCAACACATTAAGCAGGTCTTTATTAATGGTTCACTTGCTGCCAGGAGCTACCCACTACCACATGAGTCTCATACCTGGGACTCAGGATGCCTAGATACATCCAGGAACTGTCAGGATGAGTGACCAAGGGCAGGCAGATCAGGCATCTCACACTTTCACACTGGAGAAGAGGTAAACCTGGACTCTGAGGGTGACTTCTGGCTCAAGAGCCTGCAGTCTGGACCCTAAGCTCCAGGACTTGAGGTGAGAGAAAGAGAGAGACTAAGGCACAGGGTTTATTGTAGGAGCTTGTGCAGAAGAGTCCAAGTGAGCTTGTCTAAACAGTGCAGGGCGCAGAGCAGGGAGGCCAACTCCATGCCTTGCTTCCAAGCTCTTGGCTTCTTGGTGCTATAGAAGATGACCCCATCGAGTAGGATGTGTTTGAGTCTTTAGGCGAGAGATGTCTAGACCTGTTTTGTGGTTAGGAAGGAAGAAGGGAGATTTCAGGTTGGTACTGACTGTGGCCACCTTAGGGTGCTGGGTTGCTGTCATACCTTAGAGTCGTACCCCCTCAATTCCATCTGGCTTTCCTATCTGCCTAAGCCTTTCTCCTAACATCTCATGTATTTCTCCTTACATGACCCTTACCTATCAGGATTCCTCAGGTTTGTCTTTTTGATTTTCTCTATCATGACATGATCCTTCTAGGTGACCTCATCCACTATCAGGCTAAATGTCATCAGTGGGTTGATGCTTTCTGAGCTCATCTGGGCAGCCCTGAGGTAGAGATCACACTTCCAACTGCCTACTGAACTGTGTGACCTGTGCACCCCTCCGACACATGGAGTCCGTGTGTATCTATACCTGCGTCTTCCCCTAACCTGCTGTTCCTCTTTTGCTCCTGATCTGGGCTGATGCCATTATCCCAACCAGTTCCTCAAGCTGGAAACATGAGTCACTCTCTTGCTCCTCCTCTCTCTCCAAGTCCTTGGCCACCACACCCTCTTGATTCTTTGGCAGAAATGTTGTTCTCAGATGGTCTCTCCAGTCCAGCTTCCCCATTCTCACCTTAGCTTTGTGCCTTTATCCACCCTGCTCACATCTTCTCAGCTCACCTCCCGGTCCATTTGTCTTCTCAGTGTGTTATTCCCTTTAATAATTGATGTCCAGATACAACCATGCTCTCCCACACGGTGCATGTCCTTATCTGCCTGGCTGGCTCCCCCAGCACCAAGATCGGACTGGATTGCAAGCAGGCTGCTTCAGAATGTATTTGCAGGGCTGGCTAAATAGCTCAGCAGATTAAAGTGCCTGCAAGCAGGCGCGGGGGCTGGGGTTTCGATCCTGGGCCTGCCGTGCTGGCCCTGCCTCCAGGGCACGCTGAGATGGCAGTTGAGACTGTGGTGGTGGCACAGGCCTGTAATCCCAGCACTTGGTAGGCTGTAAACAGGCAGATTACTACAAGTCTGATCTAGTAGTGAGACCCTGAACACCCTGTAGGCCCTCCTCCCCACAAGAAAAAAACCAGAACGTATTTGCCTCTTTACCTTTTCCTCTGGCCACATCTCATTCTACCTGATCCTTCAGCTCAGTCCTGTTATCCCACAACTCCAACTAGGACAGGAAGTTTCTTTCCTGGAATTCCCCACCCCTCTTTTCACAGCCAAATTTTCCTTCCTTTTTAGGACCTAGTTCAAAAGCCTTAGTCCTTCTTGGCCCTCTGAACTGAGAGTGGAAGCCTCTACTCGTGCAGCTTTGCCACAATGATTATTTTATTACAACAAGTAGTACATGGACAGTAATTATCTCTGCCTTTCCCTTACCTGCCACAGTACCTGAAACGTAAGTACCTAATAGATGCTTGGTGATTAGTAATTGCCCAACGAATGGTGTGTGAAAGAAAGAGGAAAAGAAGGAAGGGAATAAAAGAAGTAGGGAAAGGAAGAGGAAAGAAGGAAAGAAAATGTTTCCAAACTATGCTTACAAAGAGCTTTGCCATTTTGTGGAGAATTATTTGTTGCTGCTGTTATTGTTGTTATTAATACTATTTTTATTTTTCTGGGGCTTGAACCCAGGGCCTTCACCATGAGCTATATCCCCAGCCCTTTTTAAGAAACACACTGGGTTTGACCTTGTGATCCTCCTGCCCCAGTCTCCCAAAATTCTGGGATTACAGATGTATATCACCATGCTCAGCTGGAGAATTGTAGCGTTATTGACATATATTTGCCTGAGAAAGTAAGTGAATAGACCATCAAAACAAAACCCAAATCTTATTCCCCCTTTCAATATTTTCTTCAACACCACCAACCTAAATGTGCCATTCTGGCTGTTCCAATCCACATTCTAGCTAGGGCCATGCAAGAATGGAGTCATTGGTGAAGGCAAACATTGGTGGAATCTTACTCCTATGGGAAAGCAACATGCGCAGCCACAATAGAAGGTCTTTGCCGGCAGTGGTTCGCTTTGCTCAGCCTGGGACTTGTCATCCAACCCAGTGCCGCACTGGGAGGGAGGCTTCCCACCACTGCAGTCCCTGTCACAGAGCTCGTGGGACAGTGGGCTGCACAGGCTTGCTGCTCCCTTGATGTGGACCTTCTCTTTAAGATTTGCTCAGCTCAAAGATACTGTAAGTGTTTGGAGGTTGATTGTGCCTTTTATATTCCTTTATTTTTCAGTTCTTAGTGGTTCAGTTTTGTGCTCAGAAACTATTTGTTGAGCACCTAGTATGTGGCCAACATTGTGGTAGGCACAGAGTGCAGGAACAGATCAGTAATCGGGTTATTCTTTTCAGAGTCATGGAGGCTGCAAGTGAATGTTGCTGATCCCAGTCGGATTACTCCCAGTCCTAGTTGTCTAGACAGTGTCAGAAACTGAGATTCAAGTTGAAACTGACCTACTAAATTGGAATCATGCAGGCTGCAACATAGTCTTGTTGGGCTGGTCCTGGGTGGAACCCTGACTAATATAGTCTACTGAGGTAAGGCACTCTCAGAGGAAGGCACTAGAAATTACTCACCAAAACACAAGGTCCTCCTAGCTTGAAAGGGGATTTCCATGTATTATACGCTAGTGATGCAGTTTGTGTGTAGATATAAAGCAAATAATAGTCCTGTTTTATAGTTGGAAAACCAAAGCTCAGAAAAAAAGCAATTTGCTTCAGGTACTCCACATAGACTATGCTTAGCACTCCCAGCCCCCTTTTATAGTCTTCTGCTCCATTGTTTGGGCCCTGGGCCCCCACCAGAAGCAGAAGCATTAAGGGAGCAACAGATCAGTCACAACCTGAGCAAAACAGAGCCACAGAGGGAGGCCCTGAGAAACAGAGGTGAGGGATGTATCCTAGGCCTTCCACTTGAGTGTTTAAGAGGCTCTGCTCGCGGCAGCATTGCCTGTAGCAGTTAAAGTTGGGAGTCGCCCTAGTAGGTGAGCCGTTAAAGAAAACGTGATGTGAATATGTGTACCTCAAGCAAAGCGAACAGCAGCTGGCAGCGGTGACCTTAGAGAGAAAGCATTTTATTTTCAAAAAAGACATCCCACAGCAACTCAGAGATAGTCTTCAAATGTGTGTAGACAGTTTTCTCCTATCCTCTTAGAATGACTCCTGTTGGATACATTGGAAGCATTGGATCTGATTTTTTTTTTCCTCCCACATTCTGGAAAGCTCACTTCTTGAATGGATAAATCATGCTGTTCAGAGAAAAAGATGCATTATGAGTAAATACTAAACATTTTGACTTTCATAGATGAAAAGTAGTGCATCTACCAACTTCTTAAAATTTGAATCTCAGAAGATTAAAGGTCTTACATGTTTATGTTAGGGGCCATGAATGTTCGGTGTCATAGAAGAAAATCATGAAGCTCATTCAGTAGTAGACTTTACAGCCAGGGCTTTAGACACAGGCCAAGTAAACACAGCAGAGGAGAGACGCTGAAAGGGCGAAGTCTTCCTTTTCAGGTTGGCGTCATTCTCAGTCACTTCTACAGACTTCTTTTATGGAGAGCATGGCAGGAATTTAGGCAGGTAGCTAACCACTCCATTCTTTGTAGCAGGAGGATACTGGGAGTTGGACCCAGGGTGTTCACCCTGAAGTATAGCCTTAGCCCATTTTATTATTATTATTATTTTTTTAATTTTAAGACAGAGTTTCATTAAGTTGTTGTGTTGTTCAGGTTGGGCTCAAACTTGTGATTCCCTTGCCTCAGCCTCCCCAAGTGCTGGGATTACAGGTCTATGCTAACAGCCCCAGCTCCAAATTAATTTATAAGTAGAAATTGTTGTTCTAAATTGGAATATAATTTATGACAATAAGAAACATAACTCAATTTTCCACAGAAAATAATTATAACAAACTTGTATAAAAATGAAATTTTGAAAGATTTTCATAATGACTTCATTGTATGTGAGCGCACACTAACACTTTTAGATCCACAGCTAGTCCACACGTATTGTACATTGGAAGGAGGGGTGTGGTGGGTACGCCAGGACTGTGGAGGCTGGCTTCTAGCTGAGGTCCCTTTGTTACCCCCCAGCCTTGGCAGTCAGGCCCAGGAGCTTGGGCAGTGCCATCCTTGAAGTGGGAGTTGCTGCAAGGATCAGCAGTGTCTTAAGTGGAGTTTTTGTAGCATTTGGTACAGAAACACTGTTGAAACACAAAACCCTGAGCTGTTTATGCATGTGGTAGCTTCAGGTGAAGAGCAAGCCAGAGTCAGCGGGAAGAACGCAGCAGTAATCTTGAGGAATGAATAACAAAAGCAGAAAGAAAAGGAAAGAAAAAAAAAAAAAACCCTAACAAGTAGCATACAAATATCTGGCATTCATAGTAGCCACAATACCTGATTGCCAGTGATGGAAAGATAAACAAAATAAAAATAGGAAATAAACCTCCTCCTACAGTTAAAAAGGAAGAAGAAAACCCTGAAAGTTAAATGTTAAGCTGATTCAACGACTGCTTAAGCCCTCTAAGGAAAAACAGTGATGTAAGCAGGGCAAACTCCAATTTTAAAAGCAGAACTGAATTCCACTAGCCTTTCCATTGTCGTCCAGGGGTGGTGTGTGCTAAGTTAGCCTTTCCCTACCTGTTTGCTCCTCTGGTAAGTAAGAAAAGGGATTGTGTGAGGATGGTACAACACGGTAAAAGCACTGGTCTGAGATACATTAAGACTACCACGGTCTGGCAAAAGTGTAGAGGCCAGCTACCACTGTGCACTACGTGATATGAAACATTTTAATAGCTGTTTTTTAAAAAATAAAATTAGCTTTAGAAATATATTTGAAATATGAAATATAACTATATAAATATTATTTGATCTTGTAATTAATATAAAAGTTCTGACTTTTTGTATCAATTAATATGATTGTGGTTTGTAATTTTTTTCCTGTTAATGTGATGTATTACATTGTTTGACCTTCACTTTCTAAACTAGCCAGGGATAAATTCCACTTGGTCATTTTTGTATGACTTTTTATTTGTATTGTTAATATTTTGGGACATATATACTGCATATATGATGCATGTTACATAGTGGTCCTGGGGATTAAACCAAGTGGCACGTTCCCACTGAGCTGCGTCATTCGACCTTTACATTTTTTTGAGACAGTCTTGCAAAGTTATCCTGCTTGCTCTCCAGCTTGTGGACCCAGCTGAGATGCGAAGAATTCTGCTGAAGGTATTTACATGTGCAGTCATGTGTTGCTTCCTGAGGGTGAAACTCCTGTTGGTGTATGGTTGTGCCGTTGGGCAGTTGTGTAGTTGTGTAGCCTTCACGATATGTATTTACATAAGCTAAAGATGACTGTAATTCCATTATGTGATACCATCTCATGGGACCACCATCCTGTAGGTAGTCCAAGGTTGACCTCAGTGTCCTAAAGCAACATAAGAAATACTAATCTGGAGTTTCTTCTTCCTTGTGAGTTTTGTCTGGTTTTCTATCAGGGTAATAGCTTGAGTGTAGATATGCCCTTTTCCTCTTATGATTTTTTCTAAGATCTATGAATGATTTAAGTGGCTGGTAGAATTCACCAATAAAGCCAGCTGGACCAGGACTGTTCTCCACAAAAAGACTTTGAATTGCTAATTCAATCACTGTAGCTGCTGAAAGTCTTGTTTTTAATTTCTTCTCATTTCAGTTCCAATTTTTTGTTTTTATCTAGGAGCTTATCCATTTCATCCAAGTCATTCGCATTGCTAGCATACAATTGTTCATAGTATTCTCTTAGGATCTTTGTAATTCCTTTGAGGTCTCTACGGAGATTCCCTCTCTTACTCTTGGTTTCAGTACTTCAAGTATTCTTTTTCAGTCCAGCTAATGGTTCATTAATTTTGATGATTTGAAAAAAAAATAATTTGGTTTCATTCATGTTTTCATTAGTATTTCTATTCTCTATTTCATTTCATTGAGCTCTAGTTGTGATTATGTGCTTCCTTTGTCTCACTTTTGTTTTAGTTTATTCTTCTTTTCCTATGTATAAAAGGATAGATCATTATCTTGAGACATCTTTTTATATATAAACATTATAGCCATTAATTTCCCTTTAATCCCTGCTTTAGCTACATCTCATAAGTTTTGATATGATTTTGTTTTTATTAATCTCAAATTATTTTGTCATGTGTCTAGTGAATTCTTTGAACCTTTTAAAATTGATTTTTAGCATTATATTAATGCATGTTAATATTGCACAGTGATGGGGTCATCTCAAGAAATTGGCCCAAGCATCTCACATGCTGTAATCAATTTCAAAGCCTCACTCTCTGGGTTTTCTCTCCCTGCTCTTCCTTCCCTATGTCCACATGTCTACTTACTGGTTTCCTGCTCTCCCTCTTTTATTTTATGTGTATGTATATATGTATGTATGTATTTTTTTCCCCTGTATTTAGGACAGGGTCTACAGGATCCCACTACTAGATTGGACTCACAGTGATCCTCCTGTCCTCAGCCTCCCAAGAGCTGGGATTACAGGTGCACATCACCATGCCCAGTCTCAACCCCATCTCAGCGTGCCCCAGGGACAGGGCCAGCATGGCAAGCCAGGAATCGAACTCCAGGCCACTGCACTCTGCCTAAGCAGGCACTTTAATCTGCTGAGCTATCAGATCGGCCCTTTAGTTTTCTTTTAT